GCTTTTTTGTTTGTAACACATTTATTGGAATTGTTATTTCAGGATTCTTCTGGTATATTCTGGGATAATGACAGTCTTGCAGGTCTCTTGGCTCTGGAACTACAAGCTGATCTTCTTGTTTTGTTGAGTGATGTGGAGGGTCTTTACAGTGGACCACCTAGTGATCCAAACTCGAAGCTGATCCATACGTATATAAATGAAAAACATCAAGGAGAAATAACATTTGGAGACAAGTCCAGGCTTGGTAGAGGAGGTATGACTGCAAAGGTTAATGCTGCTGTCTGCGCAGCATATGCTGGTATCCCTGTTGTCATTACTAGGTATGGCCTGGATCCAACTCCACAGACGTAGTAATAGATAATCATGCCATTAGTAATCCGTGCAGTTCAATCACCTTCTTTGATTATTGACTAAATTGAATCATGCTACTGAGATATTACAGGTTAATGAAGAAGTCTGAAGTGCTGGGTTAGCAAAACCCTATTCCAAATAATCATTAACCACCCGTCTGCGTCCTATTCAATCAATTAGATTTCTAATATCCCCTTCATTTCTTATTTTCTATAACTTGTTATTTATTTAAATATAATAACATTGCTGATTTATTGTTATCTATCACTGGGTGTCTTAATCATTTTTACTTGTTTTCTATGAATTGTTTTGTCATCTCACTTCTCATTTTGCTTTCACTTCATGTTTGAAGTGGTACTGGACATAGCTGATGCCCTCGAGGCCAATGAAAGTTTGATTAATGTTGAAAATGAAGCAGACGTTGCTGCTGCCCAGGATGATGGATGTGAGAAGTCATTAGTAGATCGTTTGGCGTTGAAGCCTGGGAAGGCAAGTTTTTGTTTATTCCTGTATTTATGTGATTGAAAACAAATCTAATCTGATATCTTCTGTTTGATATCCAAGCCTTTTCCATTAGATCTTTTACTCCAGCACATTATCCAGGTTTCATGCAGATTACCTTTTTACAGATAGCTAGTCTTGTAAAATCTATACGTGTACTTGCCGAGATGGAAGAGCCTATTGGTCAAGTTTTAAAGAAAACCGAGGTTAGGAAATCCTACAAAATGTCTAGAACTGTCAATTTACTTTGTTCATCACTTATTTTAGCCCTTACTTTGACAACCCTTGTCCCAGCTTGCAGATGGACTTATCTTGGAAAAAACATCTAGCCCTCTAGGTGTCCTGCTGATTTTATTTGAATCTCGGCCTGCCCTTGTTCAGGTAACAGAAAACAATTTTGGTCAATATAAATCCAGTCATTTAACTTATAAGGCTGCTTTGAGGATTACATGTTCATGTGAATTCATGTTTGCTTGTGAACTTGGGTTGGGCATCAGTTTCTACATGCATCTTAAGGGATAATTTGCCAAAGGATTTTGGTGGTTGATTGTGTTAAGATGAATTCCACATGATCCTCGGTCCATGAAGCAAATGTCTTTGTTCAACGCAGTTGAAATCCATTATTTCTATACTATTTCGGAGACAATGATCTACCATTGACTTTTTGTCAATATCTGCATTCTTTGGAGTTGGATTCCTTCTTCATACTATAGAGTGTACTAGATTACTTTTCTCTTTCTATATGTAACATGAGATATTGAAGTTAAGCACGATTTATGTGATGACTGATGAAATTCCTTTCATTGTTGTGTTCTCAAGCTTTGAAATATTAATTTTTATGTTGCATTTCTTTTCTGCTATTTTCACCTTAAACTCTATATTTGCATTTAAGACAGCTTCTTGATTGTTTTACCACCTTTTTCTTTCCCCTTATAATTTGATAGATTGCTTCCCTAGCCATTCGAAGTGGAAATGGCCTACTTCTGAAAGGTGGCAAAGAAGCTAAGCGATCAAATGCAATCTTGCACAAGTTTTGATCCTCTGGGTTCATTTACTGGAGTATAAGCCTTATTGCATTTCTTTCTCTTCACTACTTTTTTCTCTATATGTCAGGTCATTACTTCAGCCATCCCAAAAAACATTGGAGACAAACTAATTGGACTTGTGACTTCAAGAGAGGATATTCCTGATTTACTAAAGTTGAGTTGCAGGATTATGAGTTAATGACAATTTTTTGTGATGTGATGGTTTTAAATTATTCTACTTTGGCACAGCTTGATGATGTGATAGATCTAGTGATCCCCAGAGGCAGAAATAAGCTGGTTTCTCAAATTAAGGAATCAACAAAAATTCATGTTCTTGGTCATGCTGGTAAGAAAAATACTGTCGCTCTTTGATGCTGTGCAGAAGAACTTTATCAACCAGAACATCAATCAAACTTCGATTTTCTTTCTTTACAGATGGAATTTGTCATGTTTATGTTGACAAATCAGCTAAGGTGGATATATGCAAAGCGCATTGTTCTGGATACAAAGACAGATTATCCTGCAGCATGTAACGCAATGGTAATTCCATTTTAATCAGTTTCCTCGTTTCCAGTAAGTAAAATTGAACTACATATTTTTTTACAAATGCAGTCTGTTTCACATTCTAATTTATCCTTCACAACTCTCTTATCTTTTTACTGTTTGTATTGAAACTCTTAACCATGTTGTCTACAGGAAACACTTCTTGTACACAAGGATCTGTCAAGTAATGGTTTGCTCAATGAGCTTATTATGGTACTCCAACATGAAGTTATGCTTATACAAACAATTTTCTACCTACCTAGTACTTTCAAAATTATAGATCACTTACATTGTTCTTACATGATCATGCTGTCAACCTTTTTGAGCTATCTAATTGAAAGGGTTGTTCAAATATCAACTTTGCCCAGCAATAAAATTTTAAATACAGAATATTGTCTAATACCAAGCAACATTAATTAATTTCAGAGTAGTGGTATCCGGAGATAAGGTAAACTGGATGTTGATATACATACGAGTATGCCTTTGCAAAATTGTATGTATATGGAAAGACACCAATTTTAATTGGTGCTTGGCGATATTATGCATGACTGGAATGGAAGTAAAGCAATTTTGTGTTAAAACCATTGAGGCGTGAACATATTGTGTGTGTGTGTGTATATATAAGATTCTGTTTTGAGCCTGCTATGTTCAATGGTCTGAATGCCACTCCATTTTGTTGAGTTTATTGCATGTGGCTAAAGTTATAGTAGTTCCCCGAGGATTATCTGGACTTTAAGAGATATATCAACTACTGACGGGATTATCTGCTGCAGGGGTGATCCTTTATGGTGGACCAAGAGCAAGTTCCTTGTTAAATATTCCAGAGGCACATTCATTTCATCATGAGTGCAATTCAATGGCTTGCACAGTTGAAATTGTGGATGATGTGCAGGCTGCTATTGACCATATACATCAACATGGAAGGCATGCAATATCCCTCGGAACTCTTAATTCATTTTCTTTTCATTGATTTGTTTATTCCTGTAAATTGTTAAGCTGGCTTCCTCTAGATTCTAAGTATCTTGCTTGCTCTGCAGTTCTCACACTGATTGTATTGTCACGGAAAATCATGAAGTTGCTGAAATTTTCTTACATGGAGTTGACAGGTAGGTTTAGTTCCAAGCGGACAGTCACATAAGTGTACCGTTATCATTTCACCTCATTATTACCACAGTTTTTCATGCATTGCAAGCTTTAATATGGGTAACTCTTTTCTTCCTTGATTCTGGGATGATGGTGCTGACATTTCCATTCTACTATGTTTTTGTTACAGTGCTGCAGTTTTTCATAATGCAAGCACTCGATTTTGTGAAGGAGCCCGATTTGGACTTGGTGCTGAGGTATGCAAAATTCCAAATTCCGGCTGTTGAACTCCACAGTTGATTTTCTGACTATTTTCATTTTATGCATGGATTTTAACAGGTTGCAATAAGCACCAGCAGGATACATTCCCGAGGTCCAGCCGGAGTTGAAGGATTGTTAACTACTCGATGGTATGCGAGTTTCTGATCTTTATACCATCACAATTTTCTTAGAATAATCTTAAGTCAATAACTCGATGTGAACTTAGCTTCTATCTAATTACCTGTCTTGTTAAAATTGTAGGCTACTGAGGGGGAGTGGTCAAGTGGTGGATGGTGACAAAGGGGTTATTTACAGCCACAGGAATCTTGCTCTGTAAACTCTATTACAGTCTGTTTCTAGAGATGCAAGGAGGTGTTTCCCTTTTTTTCTTTCATGCCTACTATTAGTTTCTGTCTTGTAATATAGCTATCTGCTTAGGTAACTGCTATGGGGTCACTCTTGTTTTTACTTTAAAGTTGTTTTCCCCCTTGTTATCATATTTTATCATAATTAATGGATAAGCATTTTAGGATTCAACTTCCAGGATTGTTGGCTAGCTATGAAGGTGTGGCAGATTGAAATTCTGATAACTGGAAGTTTAAATGTAGCAATCAAATTCATTCATGAGAAAAGAAAAGTTGTATCTATATTTTGCATGAAACACACAGCAAAAAGAAACAATCTGATATATCAAATTGAAAAACTATAAACCAAAAGAAAGGGGTTTGGGGAGATGGTTTGACCTCTTTTTCATTAGCATAAACATCATGGCAGTCTATGTATATCTATAACCAGCCTGCAAAACAATGGTATATCGGGATGGTTTTACCTTTTTTTCATTAGTGGAAACTTGTTGCTGGACCGGACTCATCGCTTGTTATTTGATTTGTTGCTCAATTCAATTTGTTGTTCGTTAACTTCACCAAAAATTTTTACTTTTCTTTTAAAAATATGTAAAATCTAATAAATTAATAATAAGTTAATAATTATTTATTAATAGTTTAGTGTCTTTCTTGTTGTTTATTAAAAAATAAGTTATTAGTAGCAATTATTAATTAGAATTTCTTTTTTTAATGGAATAACTTTTTAAGATAATTATTGGAAATTTAATGAATTGCTCACGAATTTATCAAGTTGAATTGAACCTTACTCGACTCAACTCAATAATGTCTCAATCGAAGGTATAGGCACTCATGTCCAATTAAACCGAACTTTGGAAATTTTAAACAATGCCAATAACTTAATGATTATTACTGTTTTTATAGTTGTCGAGAACAGATGGGCAAATGGGGCATCGACCGGCCATAATTTGCTGATATTCATACAAATAATAGACAATTAAAAAAATAATACTAAAAACACCCCTTCTGTGTGTGTGTGTGTGTGTTTTTAGTTTCTCTTTTCCTCTTTGATCTATCTGCTTCTGCTCCATTTCTCCTGTATTGTATCGTCACTCAAATCTCACCATCCCAAAGTTCTTCGACGGTCTTGTATGCACCGGGAATCTCATGGATAAATGTATTTCCCCTGATCAGTCGAGCCTGTATAATTGAAAACGAGAACAAATTTTGGAGAAAATATACTGGAGCAAGAGTGTTATCAGAACTAATAAAATTTTTTTATGAGCAACGGTATAGCAGCTAACCTGTTCAATTTCGGAAAACTTGGCAAATAACTCATCGGGAATAGACCAAGCAAAGACATCAAAGTTCTCCTTGATCCACTCCTCATGCGTGCTCTTTGGAAGCACGCTATGGCCCATTTGCAGGCCCCAGCGGAGAGCAACTTGTGCAGCAGTTTTGCCTAATTTCTGTGCAACCATATTTAGAATTGGATGCTTAAGAACATCACTCTTGAGCCATGTTGTGCCCGGAGAACCCAGCGGTGAATAACCCTGATATATAGATCTACCACTTAGTTAATTTCGACCGGCACAATGGCAAGGACCCAAACAATAATCCACACGAAGTGGAACAAGAATTCGCATGCTCACCGTTAAGTGCACTCCCTTGGATTTGCAAAATTCACGTAGCTTACTCTGTTGCCATGAAGGATGACACTCAACCTGGTTGACGGCCGGAGGAACGCGTGCCACCTGCAGCAGATCCCCCAATTTCTTTGAAGAGAAGTTACTAACACCAATAGCCCGAGCTTTACCAGAGTCATAGAGTTCTTCCATTGCTTTCCATGTGCTAGGTAGGTCCAGCTCAAGAAAGTTCTCAGGACCAAAACCGATTGACCCTTTCTTAAACCGAGCTGGCCAGTGGATCTTCAAATCAAACACACATCCTCATATTAGCCACACTTGAAAAGCGCCAATTCAATAACACATGATGCTAAAAAATCTTACAAAATTTATTCTTAAGACAAAGAAAAGGTTGTCTACTAAAAGAACTCGGTGTTGTTGAACAAAGAAAAGAATTGGACTTGGTGTCATGCAATAGCTTCTACTTAGCATCAACATTCAATGACATAGTCTAGAAACTTCTTTTAAGCAGCACGTTCAACAGTATAAATAATAATGGCATGGGTAAGATATAGAGTAGCTATGATCAAGCACTACATACAAGGTATAAATCAACATAGTCAAGCTGAAGATCCTTCAAAGTTCGGTCTAGTGCTTCCGACACATCTTCTGGTGCATGATCAGAACACCTGTGCATAACTTGGTCTTAGAAAATAAATTTTAATAAAAAGAAGGCTTAATTCAAGTATTGAACAATAGATACATAAGGTATAACACATTTTTCATCTACGTACTTATCGTATTTTTTGGTCAAATAAATACCTAAAGTTATCATTTTTTTTAATCTAAGTACGTAAAAAAAATTAGTCAAAGTAATTGAAGTATACTATCTCTTTCATTTGAGTTCTTAAAAATTGACAAGTGATATTGATTAAAAATATTACCTGCTTTAATATGTAGATTGAAAATGGTGGTATATTTTAAGAACTAGCTTTGACAAAAAATAGCTATATTTAGGTAGTTATTTATTATATAAGCCTAGAATGAAAATTCATGATAAACGAACCAGAGTTTGGAGGTGATAAATAGCTCCTCACGTTTTACCACACCATCTTCAAACAGCTTCTTCAAAACCATACCGATCTAAAACAAACAAAGACGTGCACACACAGAAATGATCAGTACTAATAACTTAATATTCAATTAAAAAGCTAGAAGTTTATTTATTTGGCTACTATTATTTCTTCAGCATCCAAACATCGCTTTTGCACAAACAAGGCTAAAATACAAACGTTACTGGCATTAACTACACGGATATATTGCGTTTATGCGATTTTTTTCCCTTCTTAATAAAAAAGTGAAAATATTTTTAAAAACAATAAAATCTGATTCAAAACAAGGAAAATGACGGATCCAAACAGAGCGTAGTTTACCTCCTTTTCGTTTCTATATATTTGAGCGCAGTCGATATGGCGGTACCCGATCTGAATAGAAAATGAAAACAGACAGCTAAATATCGTTGTTTTTAAACATCAAATTATAAAATCAGAGAATTGCATTTCCAATTATCAACAGCGGTGACAACTATAAACCTTTACGGCAGCGGCAACGGCAGCGCCAACGAGGCCAGGTTCAGCCTGCCATGTTCCCAAGCCGACGGACGGAATCTTGGCTCCGGTGTTCAACTCGAAGAAGTTGACTGCATTCGCCATCTCGGAACAACAAACAGGAAGCGCGTAACCTCCACACAAAATGCGAAAACTTTGAAATACAGAGGAAGAGCGACTCGTGATAAGAACAGAGTGAAGCGGACGGCAGCAAACTTTTTATAAACGGAAAGACGAATATAAAATATATAATATTCAAATTAGTCTCAACCTTTATTAAAATGGCCCTTATTCTTTTTAGGGTAAAGTATAGTAATGGTCACTGAACATTTCTTAAGCTTGCATTTAGGTCCCTTAACTTTTAAAACTTGCAATACAGTCCCCCAATATTTATTCCATTTGCAATATGGTCCCTCAACTTAAACCACTGTTAGAAAATTAGGGTAACTATCATTGAACTTTTCGGGCACTTGAATTTAGGTCTCCTAACTTTTAAAACTTGTAAAATAGTCCTCAATTTCATTATAAACCCCAATTTCCAAAGTAATTCAATTTCATTCTAAATCCTAAATTCCAAAATAATTCAATTAAATTTTAAACCCCAAATTCTAAAATACTTCAATTTAAAGTTTAGAATGTAATTGAATTATTTTGGAATTTAGGGTTTAGAATGAAATTAAGGTGTTTTGAAATTTTGAACATGAATTTACTATTTGACAATATTTATTTCAATATAAATTTGAGGTCTGTTTAACTATTTATATCAATTTTGAATAACAATATGCATTGATTAAACATCCCGAATAGCAAAATGGAAGCACTCTATTCGGTATTTCAACTTCCCATAAACTCTGCTCATTTCTTCAACTTTTGACTATATGAAATTCGGAACACTCATTTGGAGCATTATGATTTAAGTACCACTATGTTCTTGCATGCTATTTTTTTATCAGATTTGAGTACCTAACCCTTCAGTGCTAACTTGCTCATTTCTTCAACTTTTGACTATGAAATTCGGAACTTGCTCATTTCTTCAACTTTTGACTATATGAAATTCGGAACACTCATTGGAGCATTATGATTTAAGTACCACTATGTTCTGCATGCTATTTTTATCAGATTTGAGTACTAACCCTTCAGTGCTTTACAGTGCGATCATTTATGATTCACCTGAATTTGCTCATACATGATCATTTATGATTTAGTAGAATCAATGGTTTAGAAGGAAATTGAATTACTTTGGAAATTGGGGTTTATAATGAAATTAAGGACTGTTTTACAAGTTTTAAAAGTTGGGAGACCTAAATTCAAGTGTCTGAAAAGTTTAATGACCGATTATATAATTTACCTTAATTTTCTAACCGTGGTTTAAGTTGGGGGACCATATTGCAAACGGAATAAATGTTAGGGGACTGTATTGTAAGTTTTAAAAGTTAGGGGACCTAAATGAAAGCTTCAGAAATGTTCAGTGACCATTACTATACTTTACCCTTCTTTTTATTATCATTATTAAGATATTTTCAGCCTAATATTTATTTTATGATATAAAGTTTTTTAACATTTGTCTGGGGTGTAAACGAGCCGAGTCGAGTTCGAGTAGTGCTGAGCTCGACTTGATTCGAAAACTCTGAAATGAAGCTCGACTCGACTCGAAAACTCGCGAGCTTAAAATTTTCAAACTCGACTTGAACTCGAAATCCTGAACTGAAGCTCGTAAGTAGCTCGAAAAGGCTAAAAATGAGAAAAAAATTCTTAAACTTAATTCGACTGAAACCTCAAACTCGAACCTGAACCTTAAATACATGAAAATCTTACAGTATTTAAAAAAATCAATACATAAATGTTAATATTGTTAATAATTTATTTTTTAAAAATAAAATCTTAATATATTATGTTTTTGAGCTGCTCACGAGCTTTTCGAGTCGAATATCAAGTAGCTCGTTTCGGCTTGTTAAGAACTCGAGTCGAGCTCGAGCTCGACTCGAGTCCATTCGATTCGAGTATTTATCGAGCCTTGATCGAGTCGATCTCGAGTAGCTCGCGATCTGTCTCGTCTTATTTACAGCCTTAGTCTGCATAGTTATTTTACTCTTATTTTTTAGAGTATTTTTTATTTCTAATATTTTCTTTTAAAATAAAATATTTTTAATTTAAAATGTTAAGTACTTATTAATTAATCATCTTCATATAGGGAGATTTTTTATCTCAAAATAAAATATTAAATCAAAATATAAAATAATATGAATTAAAATAATTATTTAGTTAAGTGTTAAAATATTGTTTCGACATTATGCGAATATAAAAACGGATATATATATATATATATAAAAGTGTTAAAATCCACCGGCCATTGGACCATTTCATTTTAGTCGGGAATTGGTCAGGTGGTCCTATGCCTATTTTAATCACATCCAAATCAATTTTTACATCCAAATCAATTTTAATGATTAAAAATTGATTTGGATGTGAGTAAAATAGGCATAGGACCACCTGACCAATTCCCGACCAAAATGAAATGGTCCAATGGCCGGTGGATTTTCACCTTGAGCCCAATTTCACTATTCTGGAAGAAGTCCAAAAATAGTATTGAATCATATTAGTAATTTATTATATATTATTAAAATAAAAATATGATATTATTTATTATTATTATTATAATATTTTATTAACTAAAATTGTAAAAATTAAGTATTGAATTTGAAATTTTGACTCAATGATAATGTGCGCCTATACTATCCAAGAAGTTTGGGTTTAGATCCCCAAACATTTTTCTGTTAAATAAAAATAACTAATTTTATTAAAAAAATTATAATTATAATGAATTGTATCAACATAACTATAAACTAAACATATAATTAAAATATTTTAATAAAATGCACTTTTTATTATTAATAAGTGTTTGACTTAGTTTAACGGTTAGGTGCTCTTAAATCTTCCTTTTCTAAATTAGAATTTCTTCATTCTCATTTTATTTTCATCGTTATTGTGTCTTCATTTTATTGGATTAAATTTATTAAATTATTTTTAATTAAAAATATGATCAAATTAATAAAATATATAAGTAGTGAAGATTAAATATATTATTATATTATTTTTTTATTCTTCATGTCAATAATTTCATTAATAATTAATAATCAATAACTTGATTATTACATAATTTTTTTATATGTCATGTCAATAGTTTAGTTAATAATTTTTAAAGATGTTAATCATTTTTAAAGTGGGGTTAATATTCTTATAAAATTACATTAAATTAAGTTTTAATATTTTTATATTAATTGCTAACCACCTATAGAGTAAGTGGTTAAAAACTCTCTGTTGACACTTCTTATTTTCTTTAAGTTGTGAGTTCAATATTTATTAAGAACAAAATTCTCCTTTCTTTCTCCTAGGTAAAAATTGTCAAAAGAATATTTTTTATATTAACATTATAACAAATTAAGAAAACTGGGTATGATGTTTTCTTAAGTTTTTTGAGATGTTTGAAAAACTTTTAGTTATTTCATATAACGTATGATGAAAGATAGAATTGCGAGACTTATTAATTGATTAAATGATGAAGAATATTTATATTAGTATCTTGTACGAGTTTAAATTTCAATAATAATATAATATTTTTTAAAATAAAAAATTGAACAAAATTTTCTTTAGATAGGGATAAGGGAAAGTTTCGTAAAATAGTTTTTTAAGTGGATGGAAACAAATTTTGAGATATTAATTTTTTTAAGAATGTTAATATTTTTATAAAATTGTATTATTTTTATTTTATATCTTTTTATATTAAAATTATAAAAGAATTCTTTGAGAAAAAAATTGGGTATCCAATAACACCCCTTTAACAAGCTTTTAATTAAATATTTTTTCCTTTGTGATTTTTGAGATGTTTGATAATATTTCGGTTGGTTTCTGTAGTGCAAGAAAAAGGAAGAAGAAAAATTCATAATTATGACATACTTCCATGGACCACTTGTTACTTTGTTGCCATTTAGCGAGTCGGTTTCCCTATTCGTTCCCATGTAATAATTGTATCTTTTGAGTGTGTGGAGGCAAATTCTTTTGATTGGATAAAATATATATTCAATTCATTCCCATCCAACTCAGTTGGTAGAGTAGAATGTTCTTAACTTTGAGGTCGTGGGATCGAGTCCCACAAAGGGCATTTTATAATTCAGAGTTCTCTTACGAAAGTTGCTCTCAATCTGGTGTTGGGGGTAGCCTACTATCTTACCTCCCCTTACCCCATATATATATGGGAAAAAGGGACAGCCAAACAAACATGTTATCATGATTAACAAGTTAATTTTTTGAATTAAATTAAAATTAGGACTAAATTGATGGAATATTTAAGTAGTGAATATCAAATATATAATTATGTTATTTTTTAACTGCACATCAATATTTTCGTCATCTGTCAACACATTTTTTTAATGGTTAACTATTGTCAAATATATAAATAACGCTGATCAAATATATAATTATGTCAATTTAGACCTTTAATTTAACTATTGTTTGATTAAAAATATTGAAAATTTGATAGATAAAGTAAAAGAAGTTAATAGTTATTGGTATAGTTTACTCTCAATCTTTTAGAGAGTGAAGATATTTTTTAAGTAATGTTAATATTTTTATAAAATGGTATTAATTTTTTTAGTTTTTTTATATGAAATTTAGAAAAGAAACTTTTTAGACAAAATTTAGGCGGGACGTAAGCCTTTTGCGTCCACTCTTACCGAGATTATTATTATTATTATTTGAAAATTCTTACATATATTATTATTTCGATAATATAAGATAATTATAAGATAATATTTTTTAAATAAAATTAGTTATTGATAATATACAAATTGAAGACATAACTATTCAAATTTGAAATTTTATATAAAAAAATAACAGGCTCTTTTATTATTAAGTTCACTTAATGATTCCTTATATGGCAACTAAAATGATGATATTTGGTAGGATTTTTCTGATGCAAGCACTTACTCAAGGGCTAATTTCTCTGGTTTATGCATGTCTCTTCCACTGAAATGTAATGTTTGATCCACATTCCACTGCACAATTAAAGACGTAAACTATTCTTAAATTTAAAATATTTCTCTTTTTAATTCATTTGCACATAATCCCATCATTTGTTTCTTTGAGAATATAATATTTTTCTACTTAATAAAAAAATCGAATGTTAGAATTTTAAAAAATACATATTAAATTT